ACAAACCCACAGCCAACATGATTCTAAATGGAGAAAAACTGGAAGCATTCCCATTAAAATCAGGAACCAGACAAGGATGTCCACTAGCTCCACTCCTTTTCAACATAGTGCTTGAAACTTGCTAGAGCAGTAAGACAGGAGAAGGAAATTAAAAGAGTACTCATTGGAAAAGAAGAGGTCAAACTATCACTTTTTGCAGATGATATGATACTATACCTAAGAGATCCCAAAAGTTCCACCAGAAAACTCCTAGAACAGATCAACACTTTCAGTATTGTGGCAGGCCACAAAATCAATCTACAAAAATTAGTAGCCTTTCTATATAACAATAACAAGCAATTGGAGAAAGAATACAGGGAAATGCTCCCATTTACAATTCCTGCAGAAATAATAAAATATCTTGAAATAAATCTGACCAAAGACACCAAAGATCTCTACAATGAAAATTTTAAATCATTAAAGAAAGAGATTGAGGAAGACACAGGAGAAGGAAGGACCTCTCATGCTCATGGATTGGAAGAATTAATATTGTGAAAATGACCATCCTACAAAAAGCAATAGATGGATTCAATGCAATCCCAATAAAAATCAATTACATACTTCACAGAATTAGAAAAAAAATCATCCTTAAAATTCATATGGAAGCACAAAAGACCCCAGCCGTCAAAGCACCCCTGAACACAAAGAGCAATGCTGGGAGGATTATTATACCAGATCTCAAAGTATACTACAGAGCTATAGTCATAAAAACAGCATGATACTGGCACAAAAATAGACACATAGATCAATGGAACAACTCTGAAGCCTGAAACCCAAGTACATGCAATTTCAGCCGCCTGATATTTGACAAAGGTGCCAACAACACACAATGGAGGAAAGACAGCATCACCAATAAATGGTGCTGGAAAACTGGATCTCCACTTATAGAAGAATGAAACTAGATTCTTATCTTTCACCTTGCACAAAAGTCAACTCCAAATGGATCAAAGACCTCAATGTGAAACTGGAAACCCTGAAACTATTAAAAGAAAATATTGGCAGTCACTTACAAGATATAGGTGTAGGAAAGTATTTTCTAAATCAGACAGAAGTTGCTCAGGAATTAAGGTCAGCAATCAACAAGAAGGACCTCATTAAACTAAAAAGCTTCTGTACAGCAAAAGAAACAACCAAAAAAGTGAAGAGAAAACCCACAGAATGGGAAAAAAAAAAATCTTCACCAGTGACACATTTGACAGAGGATTAACATCAGATTATATAAAGAACTCAAAAAACAAATAATCAAGAAACCAAATGTCCCAATTAAAAGATGAGCTAAAGATCTAAACAGAGAGTTCTCAAAGAAGAAATAAAGATGTCTAAGAAACATCTCAAAAAAGTGTTCAACATCATTAGTGATTAGGGAAATGCAAATAAAAACCATCCTAAGGTATTACCTTACCCCAATCAGACTGGCTAGGATCAAAAGAACAAATGATACCAAATGCTGGTAAGGTTGTGGAGAAAGCGGAACACTCAGTCACTGCTGGTGGGATTGCAAACTCGTGCAGCCTCTGTGGAAAACAGTGTGGAGAACTCTTAAAAAACTAAAAATGAACCTACCATATGACCCGGTTTTACCACTCCTTGGCATATACCCAAAGGACTCATCCTATTGTAGAGACACTTGTACAACCATATTTGTTGCTGCTCTTTTCACAATAGCTAAGAAATGGAAGCAACCTAAGTGTCCCTCAA